CAGGACCCGTGGCCACTCGTGAGAATCGATATTCGCTGTTCGTTTTATACTTTTCTCGATCAAAAAGACTCTCTCGTCTCAAAGAGACTTCCGCTGAGCGCTACTTTCACTTTAGGCCATCAATCGTACGATATTCTTTGATCTTTATTCGTTACGCAATTGCCTATTTTGCCTATTTTCGTTTTGATCTTATCGATAAATGTAACGAATATATCATCAACGCGTCCTTTATGTCACTATTAACACCTATCTTATATGCCGGTTTTCTCTTAGTATGTCAACTTTACACACATATACACACACACACACACACACACACACACACACACATTCACGCACCGATTCTTTCGAATTCGAATTCGTTTCTCGCGACAAATTAATTCGCGATCGGTCAGGACCCATCGGGCTCGCCGATGGTTACGCCAGCGGCGGTACAACCGGCGTGCAAGTATTTCGGCCGGGTGGGTCCCGGTCGGATTCTCGAGACCCTTTCTCGGCCGCTCGCGGCCCTCGGGCTCTTCACGGTTCCCAAGGGGGTCAGAGGTCGCTGGGCCCTCCTCCGCCTCGGTTCCTCACCCCGCCGCGTCTCATCGAGCCGCCACTTACGAACCGCCCATTCTCTCCCTTCTTCTCTTTCGCGCAAAAGAGTTATTTATTCGTTCGGGTATGACGAGAGATGTCAGAGTGAATCTCGCAAAAATCGCGAAATTATAAATTATACCGGGATAAGCACTGGAATAAGTGACGAGAAGCGAAATGTTGTAAGTTCAGAGAATGTAATAAAGAGTAAGAAAAGTGTATTTTATTCCCTTGTAGAAGCAAGGGAAGATGAAGTCTCCAAATCGTGCAAACAATGTCTTATCCTATTTACCGAGTTTAATATAATAATACAATTGTGATAATAAAAATCTTATATTAAATTGTAAAAGAAATCTTTTTTTTTTAATTAACTTTCACTATGCTTTTGTTGAAATCCAATGAAATAAACATCTCGATAATATTTCTGATTGTATCTGTAATCTGTCAGAAACAGTTATAAGCCGAACAATTATAAGCCGAATTATAGCCACAGACTATGCTTTACTATTTACCATCGAGATAGGGATGATTCTCTGTCAATTTATTTTTTAACAATTTAACGGAATTTTCATTTGAAGTCAAAGGGGAGACATACCGAGGGAAGTGCGTGTTCATCGGATAAACGTTGGTCGAAGGGGCGGCTTCGTGGGACTCGGGGCCCAAGTCGGGGTCGTTTTTGCAAAGCCTGATAGCCGACAATTACGCGGTCACGGCGATTGGACGGGCTGTTTTCGCGGGAAGCAAGGGCCAATCGAAGCATCGGATATTACCTTCTCTCTTCTTTCTCCTCATCTCGTTTTTTCTTCTCTCTCTCTCTCTCTCCCCCGATCTCTCTCTTCTCCTAGAGTATTACTCGACGCGCCGCAACGAGCACGCTTTAGTCTAGTCAGAGCTGCACCTGTGGATGAACCTGTAAGCGCACCTGTAATTTTGCCGTCAATGTCCGGCAGTCGATGAAAAGTGCGGAAAAAGTACTATTTTTTTAATTTTTTTCCAATTATTTTTCCAATCATTATCTTTTCTTTTGGTTTTCTGCTCTTGAAGAAGATTTCTAGTCAGTGTGAGTGCAAATTGTTGAAAAAAAGTTTTTCTCAAAGAAACATTTAAAAGGATTTAAAAGGATTTGTGTACAAAGAAGATTAATAAAGAAACTTGAAGTGGTTGTTTAAAACGACATGAAAATTTATTTCGAGACACCGGGGAACCCTTGGAATTATATAGTGTGAATCGAAAAAAGTGTGTAATCAACAAATCAACAAATTAATCAACAAATTAATATCAACAATTAACTATTGATTTTCTAAAATCTAATTTTTATTGTAAACTGAATATAAATTATTAAAAAAAACATAAGATATAAAATTCCATGGCATAATCTTTTAATATAAATTTTAGTAGTATAAATCGCTTTATTACTGAGTTTAGTGAACTTTTTAGAGGGAAATTTGTACGATATTTCCACATTGACTTGATAAAATGTAAAAGTGATAAAGAAGATAAACATGTACACATTTGTATGAAAATACAAATATGATCTGATGAAGGTTGCATAGTGCGAAAAACGAGGTATCGCTTGGCAGAGTAATATCAAAGCAACGATAATGTCATCTAGTAACGTGCGAGGTGATCTGGACGATAATGCGGTTAATCTCGCGATGATTAGCAACTAAATGTTAATGAGTTTCTGCGATCGTCGGCAAGTCAAAGAAGCGGAAGCGATCGCATAGTCAGGTAATTCCTGTTCCTCTCTCGCTCGGTAGCTTTTTTCTCTCGTCAATCGATATACAGACATCATCTGTCAAACGACGCTCATTCTTAGGAGACACAGAGAGTTGCTTTCATGATTGCGTCAAAGAAACTCGATAAAAGTTCATTGGATAGCGTCGGGCTGAGGGATAACGAGGATTTATTGTAGATCAGATTGAACCATACATACGTCACGATCGCGAGAAAGCTGAAGAGTTCATTATAAGCGGTGAAAATCTTTAGTGATTTCTTTGTGATTTACTTACCGTCTCTTGGGATGAGAAAGCTGGGGAAACATGATCTGTCATATATAAAAAATTGATTTTTATTCATTATTTTTTGATTCTCTTATTCTCTTTATAATAATATCTCTGTTTAATATTCTTATTTAATATACAAATAATACAAACATATAAAAAATGATGTGAATAATGCAGATCAATCGTATAGTATTTTCTATGCACGAGAATAAATTTGTTATTGTATACTTTGTTGATTCTGAAAATTGGCAAATTAATATTATTTTAATTTTTAATTGCCTTATTATTATCTTAATTTATTTTTAATAATTTCATATTTTTAATAAAGTTAATACAAAGATGATCTAAATGCTGATAAAAATTAATTTTTAATGAGATGAAGTATCGTATCTAAAAGTTTATTATGCAAAGAATACGTAATTTTTAAATTATTAGAGGAAAAGTGTGTGTATATATATATATATATATATATATATATATATATTCTATATATCTATTATATATATATATATATATATATATATATATATATATTCTTTTAAAAAACTTTTTGCAATATTTACGCCTATGCGAAAAGTCGCGCACGTGTCACACACTGACGGCCATTTAACGACGCACGTGCTCGCTGGTCATGTGCAAATCAAGTCATCCCTGACAACCATCATCCATACCTATAAATGCAGCCGAAGTATGCATTATATTTATAAGCAATTTTTATTTAATTATTTTACTATATATATGTTTGTAACACACTAATTTAACATTGTCTTGAAATATTAGAGACTATTAATCGGTCTAGATTGTGTCAAATATTAATTTGACATCAAAGCAGTATCATGGCATTTCTGCCGAATTCTTACTCACCGTATTCCTACTCGATCGTGGATTTAACTGACATAATCTCGACACTCGGATCGTGCGAGATCGATAAATCTTTATCGCCGCTCGATTGCTCGTTCGCTTCCCATGAAGGGAAGGAATCTTCCATCGTATAATCGCGGCATTCTCGGGTGGCGCGAGTAAACGGGCAGATTCGTAGGTTGAGGTCTCCCCTTACAATGTGCTGCGTCTGATCGAATCCCATAAGTCACGGAACTCGAATACTGTGTTTAAGAAGCGAGTCCATTCTCTCGTCCATTATCCCCGTATGTATATGTGTGTAGCAAGGCCCCAAAATATTTTTTCAAGACTCTCAACTTTGAAGGGAACATCAAGCCGAGACACGCAAATCACAATACATAGAAATTATTCTGGTCGATGCAAAATCGATTTATAAAATTTTTGCTACTTTTTGAAATTTCGATTATGAGCATGTATAAATTATTTCAACATAAAAAATAAATTATAACATAGCTAAATTCTTTCAAAATATTTTTCTCTAAAGTAAGAAATAATTCAAGAATGTAAAATAATATTTTAAAAAAATGCTTCTTCTATTTATTAAATGCAAAATAAGAATTATATAAAATTATTTTTTAAATTAAAAAATACTACAACTGAAAAAATACTAATTACATTGATTGTTAACAAGAAATGAAATTTTAAAAATTAAAAATAAATAATTAGAAGATAAAATAGGTTTTATGTACTTAAGATATTAATTTATCAGTCTTCTTTAAAGTCGAAAAATATTTTATTATATAAGTGTATTTATTGATTCTTTCATAACTGCTAACAAACAATATACATTATTACTAACTTTTCATAAATAAAAACAGACAGTTTTTTTCAATTTTTAGTTTTCTGTTTGTTGCAAAAACAATTTATGATGCAATATTCCTTTACAAATATATTACTTGTTGTTACAAATATATTGCTTATTGATAAGAAGTTAATACTGTTGAGATGATACAAATATGATTTAGAATAAATTTGCATGGTGGATTAACGACATTCCGTGCATGAATAGATTCACTGATATTGATTTTTGTAAAAAATAGAAAACAAACGATAGTAGGCAATGCAGTTGATATATCGATCATAAATATTGAAATGAACGATAGCGGTTATTTTAATTGAGGGGCAGGTTTTATTCAGTCATGTTCCACATTAAGTTAATGCTAATACGTTATGCGACATCTTTGAACGACTACTAAGATTGAAACAAAAGAATGATTTTAATGAGATAAATTATTTTATAGTTTAATTAATGAAGAGAGAGAGAGAGAGAGAGAGAGAGAGAGAGAGAAAGAGAAAGAAAGCTTAATTTTATTTTAATCGCAACTGCATCTTCAATTTTTTATGTTTTTTTATTTATTATTTGTTTTAATTATTTTTACACACACCATACACATATATAGAAAATTAAAGGTATTATATTCCATTGTATAACTTTGGAGAAATTTGTTTTTATTTTCTTAAAATTCATTTATTTCTAATCTATTTTTAAATATAATCATTGTTTCCTTGGTTTAGGAGATCTGAAGAGACGACATTCTTGGAGCAGCGAGATAGACTATCAATCAGAAGAAGCTGTAACTACCTCGGGAGAAAATTCCATTGCCCCAGTTCCCTCGACCGACAGAAGTGACAGAATTTCTTATAAGGTATTGTATGATTTCATTACATAATTATTTTTTACCCTTTCTTCCTCATTATATATATATATTTATTTATTTATTAGATTTAGATACATATATTAGATTTAGATATAGCTTATTTTAGATTTATTCTTTATCGTATGTTTAATTGACTTACAAAAGTTATAATATTTTTTAAATATGAATAAACACAGAAATTAGTAAAAAGGTGCATCAAATAAATCAAATTGCGTGCAAAGGGAAAGGTGTTTATTCCGCAAGAATATCTCTTTCCTAAAAAATATAAAAAAGTATAAAACAGGTATATGCATATACATACATCTTAGCTTCCTGCTCCAACTTCGTTCCAAATGGTTAGTCGCGTTCTACAAATGCAGGGATGCGCGATGCGATATCAATAGAGAAATAACACATGAGAGAAATATCGCGACATTACACGGTATTACACGGTATTACACGTGTCCTACCAATAGTAAATATTACATAATTCAACCGGAAAGATCTGCTGGAGAGAAGTGCTGCGAAGCTAGGGCAAATTCATTAGCGCATTTAAGATCCTAAAAAGAAAATAATAATTAAACTATAGCAAATTATAAATTATCAAAATTCTAAAAATTATTAGATAATTATGCTTATTAGTTCTGCGTTTGTATTTTAATTCTAAGTAATAATATAGATTATCTTAAACAAGATTTGTAATGAGATTTGATTGCACTGCTGCTGTATTTCCATTACTAAATCTTGACGGAGAATGTATTTTATTTTTCAGGAGTATGGCCGTTCGATGCAGACGGTGGACCTGGTGGCGGACTGCCCGTTGCAGATCGTGACGGGTAGTTCGAAATCTCCGTCACTCTCGAGAACACCGACGCCTTCATCGACGTCCTCGGTGTTCGTCGTGTCGACGACGAGCATGGGGCAACGACCGAGCGCTCTATTGCGCCCCAAGATTTCATTAACTTGGGTCCTACGTGGTCAACAACAATCTGAATCCAATAACTATCCGATCATTAACGGCAATGGAGGTGAAATTATCTTTTTTCCATCATCCAGTTCTTCTTTTTTAAAAATATCATACACAAATGAAATTATACTTGAAAATGCATTTTGCAATAATAAATTATCAGGTGCTGAAATTATTTTAGTAATAATACGTATATTATGTATATTATAATGAAAACTTATTATAATGAAAATTTACATTATTTTTATTAAAGTTTATTAAAACTGTTTAATACAGGAATAAGTTGTAATATTATGTTAACGAAATTATTTAATATTTTTGTTTAAAAGGTGCAAACAATGATCGAGATGCTTTTTCACGGGGTAGTAAGAGATCTTCGAGAAGAAGCGTTAAAAGTGTCAAGGAAAAAGATGCTACTGGTAAAGAAAATATTGAAAATAAGGAAAGCATCGAGAAGCGCGAGAAGAAGATTTTACACAGGCTACAGAAGATGGAAAGGATGGAGAAAGTAATTGTTATTATATCAACTCAAAAAATAAAAATATAAATCTTTCTTTTAAATAAACTGTTCCGTTATACGGTTATTACGTTCGAATTTATAACAATTACATTTTATTTTTTTCATAGACTATCGGCAAAGAGACAATCGGTGAAAAGCGATTGGACAGTTCGCTGGAAAAACACTTTGATAAAGAATTTATCGATCTGAAAGATACGAAGGAGAAAGAGAAAGTAAAAAGAGCCATATCCGAACCTTCTTTAGTATCTCGTGAATTAATGTCGACGCCCAACGGACGAGAGAAACACCGGCATAGACGGACTAAACGCTCGCATAAACCTAGATTACCCAGTAAATTCGGCTATGAGATCGCCGATCTTGACGCGTTTTTAACCAAGGTGTTTTTTTATTTCTTATTCAATTCTATAATATACTGTAATATTAACTGTAATATTTTATAATATGCTATTTATCTTATCGTTTATATCTAATATATCTTGAGAGTTTATACCTCTTATGAATATCACAATGATCATAAATAATCAGAATATTAATGATTAATAATTAACTTGAGATACAGTCTCATTAAATGATTAAATGATATAAAATTGTTTTCTAAATGAAAGTTTGATATCGGTTTATTTATCAGTATGTTCTTAATTTTTATATTAACAATATGAGTTTTTCTATATTATATATGTTAATGAAGAAATAGCATAATAGAAAATTTCTCTTTAATTTCTGCTGTTTTTAAAATAGTTTATATGAGATAAAAAATATATAAATGTAATTGTGATTTTAGGCATCTATAGAGAGACCAGCAAATATCCCAGTCGTTTTATCTTTCCCATCAGTGTTGTATCAAACTCAGGGAGGTATACAGGATGAAATGGCTCTTCCTCTAGGTACAGTTGTAAACGCCGTCTTCAAAAACCAAACCTGGCTATATGTGCAAACGCCTCACGGCCAGGAAGGTTACGTTGGCTACGCTGCCTGTTTGCCTTTGGGAATTTTACCACAATCTACACGAGGACCATGCTGGGAAGATTCCACAGATGTGTTTCCTCGGCCATTAGGTAATAAATATTTTCCTTCTAGTCTATAAAGAAATCTTATATAATATATTGAGACTAAAGATTTTGAACAATTAAAATGAAAGTATATAATAAAAAATCGCGTTTATAGCAATTCTGATTTTCTGTCTTCTTCAGGAAACATGACAGATACGGAAAAACTGCGTGATACCAGATCCGAATGTGGAGCAAGTCGTGGACGCAGTAGTAGGATGAGACGAGGATCGAGAGACGCAGTATCTGCATGCGGCGAACGCAGTGTTGATCGGTTGTATCTAAGAGCGGCGGCAAACGCGCGTATCAAAGGTTCGCGACACACGCTTTTGGTGATCAGAAGTGATTACGAGGCGCGTGCTGCAAACGCTCTGACAGTCTCCAAAGGTGACGTGGTTGCTCTGTTAAGCGACCATACGAACGATTGGTTCTGGGTTCGCTCGAGGGATGGCAAAGAGGGATTTATTCCCGCAGTCATCGCCGGTCACGGTTTTCTTTGATCTTTCTCGATCAAAGGAAATTATTTGGCATTCACATCAACGTCATTCGTTATTTTTTATAATTTTATATTTTTTATTATATGCCTTTATTTAAACAAAAGAAAAAAAGGTAATATAGAGTGCAATTACAAGAACAAACACGTGTATCTATCTTCGCATTTTATCGCGAAAATTGCGCAAATATGGTTTGTATATTTGTACAAAAGAAGAATCGTATAAAAAATGTACACTTTATTAATATATTTATTTAAAAGATTGCAAATCTGGCACTAATTATACCTACTACTACATCCATCCGAATTATTTAGAAAACAATCGAAACTTTCTCTCCAGGAAGTTAATTTCCATTTTTTAGCAAAAATGCAATTCACATTTATATTTTTTTTTATTAAAAGTATAAAATACACATAAAGATAGCTTTAATTCATTCTAATAATTATGCAAACTTGAGCGTCATCTCGCGATAATTGAAATTTGTACTGATATCAATGCAATTTGAGGAGCCAGCAACACTGAGCATCTTGTGTGGTGTTTCTTGATGCACCACACTATAGACGGTGAGACTCGAAGTAGGAACTTTAGCAAGAATTTCGCCTTGATATGTCATGTGATGAACGTGATCAGTTGCACCACCGGCGATCACGCGTTCCTCGTAAATTTCTGCTACATGAATTCCTTGATCAGCCAAATCAAAAACTGTCGCTACTTCCATCGTGCGCATATGCCATAACGACAGACTAGGTCCACCACCACATAACTAGAATTAACATGGATTATCAGTCTAATTTAAAAAATTTATTTAGATAAGATTTAGACAATTCTATTCATTTATTTTGTTTCATATGTATAATTTTTCTTTCTTCTTTAATTTCGATGAACATATCCTATTGTTACCTACCAACCAATCTTCTGTAAAATCAACAGCGCCAATCCATTTTCCATATCGTGGTCGAGCAACTTTATCTATTAAATGTGGTGTTAGTATGTTAGTGTTTTCTCTCTTACGCAAATCCCATAATCTCACAGAACCATCTTCACTGCAGGAGGCAAGCTGATTATCCCTGAAATTTATAGAAACTTTTTTACACTATTTAGTATAACTTTTATGTATGTATTTGTAATAAACAGATGATAATTACATTATGGCAAGACAATGAATGTAATCGGTATGGCCCTGCATACTTCTCAGAATCTTTCTATCCTCTAAGCTTATAACATAAATATTATTATCACCACAGCCAACATATAATAAATTATCCACTTTTGAATGTACCATATAATTTATATCTGGCTTATCATAACTGTCTCTGAAAGAAATATATATTTTTTTACATCTGATTCTATATAATAAAATTCTTTCAATTATAATTCTAATTCTTAATATGGTATGTATGAATATAATATGGTATTTTATTTTTATTATATTCTTTTATTCTTGCTTACTTATTAGCAGGAATTTGTATGTTCCAAGAAACTTTACTCTTAGGAGCTTTATTTGATGTAATCACTTTCCAGTCCCAACCCGCTATTTCACCACGTGTTCCTGTCACAAGAAAATTCTCCACAGAGAGCATACATGCAACTTCTTGTTCAGGGTGCGCAGCAAAGCGATAATTAGGTCCTTGTAACTCATTCTCTTCTACCTTATTGGGCCCTAAGACCTTCAACAGACTATTTCAAAACACAACAATTATAAATTAATCTAAAAATTAGGTACGTTCTAATTTTATAAACTCAACCGTAGTATATACATCTTAACTGATTCTTGACAGAAAGGTATGATTATTTTAATAATACATACTGCAGTTTTATATATATATATATATATATATATATATATATATATATATACTGCAAAAACAAAAATGTTTATTTAAATATTTCCTTACTCAAATACTGATACATCTCCATAAATATTGCCAGCTAAAAGATAATTTCCATCGGGTGAGAATGTCTGTGACAATACGGTGTTGTAAAGCAATTTCTTGTCGGATGGTTCGATCATTTTCTTCACTATATTCGTCACACGCACAGTTGATCGTTTTTCCTTTCGATCATTTAAACTTCTCCAATTTAAAAATCTTTTCCCATAAATTTTCTTTTGATCTAATAAACAACAATAAACAATCACAAAATTAAACTATCACACAGCTTTGATATTTACTATCGAAGTATCTTTTAGGTTAGAAAACTACAATTTTGAGTTTCGCCTCTCTCATCTACAACCCTCCGGAGATGTTAACAATTCTTTAATGTAATAATTAAAGCTTGTTTAAAAGATGATACAAATAATTACAGAAAAAAGAACTTTATATTACACACGCAAATGCATCGAAATGCAAATGTACGAATTGAAAACTACTCAGCAATATCAACTTTTACATACCTTAACTTGATCCCACATGTCACACGATGTAAACGTAAATACGATTACGAGGCAAGATAGAAAAGTAATTACTGCAAGAGATCTGGTGCAATCGATAAACACCACTTTACGATAACCTTCGCACTTCGCATAATTCGCGCCGCGATCATGTGACCGCCGTTCCTCTCTGCTCTTTATTCTCTTTTAACTTAACGGACCGTTCCAGTCCGATCCGTGTGTCCGAGGTGGCACCGGTCCAGTTGAATTTTATCGAGGTTACCTTGTGCAGACTCCAATTTCGGGAAGAGAAATATTCGCGAAGGATCATTCTTCAAATGGCACATACCACGAGACTGGTCGTAACAACCGGTAATTTCTTGAAAAGCGTTTGCAATCCCATCTCGATGGCCGCAAGATCTTCTAGGTGAGATTTAGATATTCGTTCATTTGAAACGAATGACCTTTCGACCTTTATCAATTACCCAGCTGTTGTACTTTGCTCTTGAGAGCTATCACTACCGTTATCTTGCAATCTTGATTATTAATGATCTTAATTCTTTTAATTAATAATACAGGCCTGTAAAATATACAGCTGTGAAGCAAAGAAAAGGACATTAAAAGTTAGCACAAATGATGCAAATAATTAATTGAATTGAATTTAGAATTGAATTAAATGTAAAGAATTAGATAGATCTTAATTTAATTTTTAGTCAGACTAATTCAATTCTTCAACAAGCTAATAAATTTACAATAAGATTTCTCTGCTGCTATAAACTGAGACAATAGGAATAATATACTCACTTTTCTCTTTTATCTCTGTTGGTTTCTAATGTCTTTTATATAATTTTATGATTTTGTGTTTATTTTATTTGTCTAAATTAATGAAATTCTCATTAATTTATTTATTAATATATAATGCAATTAGTAATTAAATATTTAATTGTTGTGATATTGGTTGTTTTTATTTAGACTCTGTAGTTTTTATATTTTTAATCTGAAAAAGATAAACATATATTAGTTTTATTTTAACATAAGAATAGTATAAAAGAACACAAAAAATAAGCTTTTCTTTTAATTAGTAAATTTTCTTTTATGCATACAAATTTTTATAATTTGTTATGAAATTTTTATTATAATTTATGAATTTCCTTTAAATACATAATTGCATTAGTAATTTGCTCTCGAATGATAAATATTTTATCTTTTGATATGAAATCAAAGATAACTGTAGTTTATCAATATATATTGCAGTTCATGTGGTGGTCTCATGTTAAAATGATTGACAAAGATAACTGTAGTTTATCAATATATATTGCAGTTCATGGTGGTCCCATGTTAAAATGGGACCACCAGATGCCATTCTGGGAGTTACCGAGGCTTATAAGAGAGATCAGAATCCAAAAAAGATCAATCTAGGTGCTGGTGCTTATAGAGATGATAATGGCAAACCATACATTCTTCCCAGTGTTCGTAAGGTTAGTTATACATGAGATATTTGTAGAAGAGAAAAGAATTGGTACAAACAGTAATAGAAATCATGATAATAATTTCAAAGATTATTATATATAATGAATATAATAAAAATACAAAGAGATTAATTATAAAATAGAATAAGAAAAATATATTTTTAATTATTTGCGATAGGCAGAAGAGAAGATACGAATTAAAGAAATGGATAAGGAATATTCTACAATTGCTGGTAATCTTGAGTTCTGCCAACATAGTATTAATCTGGCTCTCGGAGATGGAAACGAAGTTGTCGCAAATAAATTGGTGAATATTATGATGGAAATAATATATAGAACATTTTCTTAATTAGAATAAATTTCTTTTTAGAATGCAACAATCCAAGGAATTTCTGGTACCGGTTCTCTGTTTGTTGGAGCACAATTTCTGTCACATCATTTCCCTGGCAATAAGACTATTTATCTACCGACTCCTACATGGGGAAATCATATTCCTCTATTTAAACTTGCTGGGCTTACGATCAAGTCTTATCGCTATTATGACCCAAAAACTTGTGGTTTAGATTTTGAAGGAATAATGGAAGATATATCTGTTAGTATGAAACTTCTAATAAAAGAGAAATATTGATGCACGCATTATAAGAAAATTAAAGGACAAATTAATCACAAGAATTTTGTGTTATTTAAAATTACAATAACTAATCCTTGTATTAATACAAGAGTATGTTTTTTAAATATTAATATGATTTTGAACTAATATAAATATTGATTATGATTATCACTTAGGAATTTAAAAACTATTATTCATTAAAATTGTCACTTCATTAACATTATTAATTATTTTTAAGGAATTAATATCTTATCATACTAATCATGTTATTTGTGGATAGTGTATTCCTGAGAAAACAATTGTCCTTCTACACGCATGTGCACACAATCCTACTGGTGTTGATCCCAAACCGGAACAATGGGAAAAATTATCTGCTCTGATTAAGAAGAAAAAATTATTCCCATTTTTTGACATGGCATATCAAGGTTTTGCCTCAGGTACTTTATGTACTAATTATAATAATATATTAATATTTTTTATTTTATATTTATATATCAAGAAAATCTTAAAGTATTTTAATGTATAATATAATACTTTCTAAACTACATTAGTTTTTTGTAGGAGATTTTACAAAAGATGCTTATGCAGTTAGATTATTTATCAAAGATGGTCACCAAATTGCGCTAACTCAATCTTTTGCAAAGAATATGGGTCTTTATGGTGTGTATAAGTAGAAACATGTATATATGTGTGTGTGTGTGTGTGTGTGTGTGTGTGTGTGTGTGTGTGTGTGTGTGTGTGTATGTTTTTGTGCATGCATAAGAATAAATTGTGATTTATTTATAATATACTAATTCTTTTTTGTCAGGTGAACGAATTGGAGCATTCACTTTAGTAACATCTAGTGAAGAGGAAGCTGAACGGAGTCTGTCACAATTAAAAATCCTCATTAGACCAATGTATTCCAACCCACCGATTTATGGAGCCCGTATAGCTAACGAGATACTCGGCGATCCTGAACTACGAAAAGAATGGTTACGCGAAGTAAAGGGTATGGCTGATCGCATCATTTCGGTTCGCACAAAACTGCGCGAAAATCTAAAAAAAAATGGTAGCATCCGTGATTGGTCTCATATCACCGATCAAATTGGAATGTTCTGTTATACTGGCTTGAAACCTGACGAGGTAATTCCTTTACTCCATATGGATATCTAAATATATTTGAATAGTAATTAATGCATTTTTTAATACAAAATTAAAAATTATAATCATTACGATTAATTATTGATTTTTTTAAATTATTGTTGATTTTGTTTGATAGGTGGAAAAGCTCACAAAGGATTATAGCATTTACTTGACCAAAGATGGTCGCATCTCTATGGCTGGTGTAACTTCGAAAAATGTAGAATATCTAGCACATGCGATGCATGAAGTTACAAAATAACTTCTGTCAAAATTGATTAAACACGTTATCATTCACCTGAAGCCGCCTTGCCAATGTCCAATGATAATACACAGCGTCTTATTACATTATACAAATGTAATGTACTACTATTATACAAATGTTATGATTGAAAATAGTGTTTAATTAACATCGTCGAAAAATACATGAAAAAACTACAAGGCATGGATATGAATATTTTCAAAAGCTTCTTAATATCCATAATTTATTAAATATCAAGTCTCTTCATTTGATTTTTATATATTATTCTATCTGTAGTGCAAAGTTATATACAAATAATTGGTTGTACATACATTATTTATATAATATGATATATATCATGTGATCAAAGATAAAAATTTAATAAGAATAATTTTTAATTTTAATATTTTAATATTGGTTATAAATATACATATTTCTAAAAATATTTCTCTTGAAAAGAGAAATATTTTTTATATTATCTATGCTGTATAAAGATGAAATAATGTTTTGTATAATTTGTATTAATATGAATGAATAATGCGAGTTGCAAATATTCGAATGTTGAATATTCATTGCAGCTGTATATACTAAGTATCAGTAAAGCGCTTTATAATACAATTTATATTTAATGTTTAATCAATACAGTCATTTTCTATGTTAAAATTTCCTCGCACAATTCCTAATCCTATTTGAATAGCATAAAATAAAAATATTCTTTTATTCTAATGCAAAAATAAATATATGATCAAAAAATAAAACTTGGTTTGAAAACAATTGACTTGGAACAGAGAAAACATTTAAAATAGAACTTGACTGTATTTTATTATATATCCTCGCTATTTATAAGAATTCGAAGAGTTTTTAAGATACAAAGCTTCTTGTAAAATATATATATTTTAGAGAATATAATATATATAAAAAATATATTCTCTCTTATTTTTCATCCTGTGATTTAAATCTATGATTTATTTAAAAAAATTGTAATTTCTAATAATTTTCAATTTTATATATTTTTTTACAGTTATATGTATTTTTTTAACTTGATCGATTTATTGCATCATTATTGTATGTAAATCTCTTTTTTTATGCAAAAATTGATTTACTGATGTGAGGAAAATTTCATTAAAAAATAAAAAATTGCATGTTACGTTGGTATGTGTATATGCATCGCCAGCGTCATCTGCTATACGTGTGTGTGTATATATACGTGTAACTATCGTGACATTTCTCCGTTAAGAGTTTATGTTGTCGTTATAGAAAAACAAAATTCCATAAAAAAGATAAATTGTTAAGAGAATCAACAAACTGCGAATATGGTAAGGGTCTAGAAATGTGTAGCGGTTAAGAAAGCAAATAGCGAAAGTCTTTCTGAAATCTGTTTCTCAAGAGGAAAGTAGTCGAGGTTAATGATACAGAGCAAGATGACTTTTCAGTTTCAGTTCGGATTCAACATGTTCCCGGAGATTCCGCGGCCCTTCAACACACAGTACAAATGCTTCTCGGTGTCAATGTTACCGGGAACCTATCGTCAGGATGTCGAACGCGGTGGCAAGAGTCAGTATCAATTGGTAGCTAGGTAAGATTAAGAAGAATGCTTTACATTAGTCCGTTTGTTTTTCAGTAATCATGCCACCATCCGCTCTAGAACAGCTCACCAGACTCAACATTATTTACCCTATGTTGTTCAAACTAACTAATAAAAAAACAAACAGAATTACTCACTGTGGTGTATTGGAATTTATTGCTGATGAAGGCAAAGTCTACTTACCTTATTGGGTAAATAAAGAATTAGTACAGAGTATTTGATATTAAAAGCATATAAAATAAGTAAAAATTATTATCTCTTGTAGATGATGCATAATCTCTTGCTAGAAGAAGGTGAATTGCTTAATGTAGAGAGTGTATCACTACCAGTTGCAACATTTTCACGTTTCCAGCCACAGTCAGAAGACTTCCTGGATATCACAAATCCAAAGGCTGTATTAGAGAATGGTTTGCGTAGTTTTGCTTGTCTAACTACAGGTGACGTGATTGCAATCAAATATAATCAGAAGATTTATGAAATGTGCGTACTGGAAACCAGACCTGGTACTGCAGTCAGTATCATCGAGTGCGACATGAACGTGGAGTTTGCACCACCAGTAGGCTATAAAGAACCAGTAAGAGAGATGAAAAAGGAAGAGGATGAAATAGAACATCTGGCCGATTTGATGCCAGCGCCAAGTGGCTTTGTACCTTTCCAAGGCGAAGGTGTTCGGTTGGATGGTAAAAAACGCAAAGATACACCGAAGCAGGAAACTGTAGCCGCCAAGTCGACCTATGTTCGGGGAATACCCGATTATGATTATCAGATAGGCACGCTTAGATTTCTACGAAATATGAAACCAGCGAATAATAAAGAGGTAAAAAAATCAAATTAGAGTTCTATAAAATTGTACATAGAATTCTGTCCAAATTTTACGAAATGCAAATCTAACATAGATTCAATTTACATTATGCATAATCATATCGTTATTAATATCAATTGTAGACGAAAGATCCAGATGAGTTCAAGGCATTCACTGGCGAAGGATTTACTCTTCTGAGAAGATCCAGAAAATGATAAAATAACGAGTAATTTATTCTATTATTTTTAATTTATAGATAAATATCTACGAGAATGTTTGCGCGGAATGAATGTTGTATTGTGGAATGATTCTTTTTGTTTTATAAAGATATAAGTAAATGATAGAGTCAATCTCTTGATTCAATTATTGATGTTATCTAAACATCTTACTAACTTAATAAGATACATGCGTCCTTATTTTTCTATCGCATATTTCTTGTGAACAGAAAAAAATGTTGTATCTTTCACGTCATGTCTTTCAATACAAATAAAAGAATTAAAGAATTAACAACATATCAATTGCTATTCTACAGTTTTAAAATTTTATAAAACTGGAAATTTATAAAAAAAATGACTAGCTTAATCAAGTAAATTATATTAATAAATATTATGTAATTATCAACTTTCTTCAAGTTGATATTTATAATTGATCAACTATTTGAGAAAACTTGCTTAATATAATAATATATTGATATCATTTTATTTACAACAAATATATGATTTAATAATTACTTAAATGCTAGTTAATTAATCCAAGAGTATATCCGATATTCGAATATTGATGTATCGAATATTGATGTATATAATTGCATTCTTATTGAATGGTGGATAGTCCATAAGGAGATATTTGATAATAAGGACATATTTGAGAGATTCTATTAGCTCTAACTCTTTTTGTATTCAATTCTTTCTACCTTAACTTCGTCTCCGACCAGCTGATATACATATGTAACCACTGTTGAACTTTGAATATCCATTAATACAAATGATGGTATAACTGATCTAAAAAAAAAAATTATTGACTCTTTTAGAATCTCGTTTAAATGTTAAATTATTATACATTTTCTTAAGAAGCTTATCTTTTCTCAAAGAAAAAATATTACGACATTTTTAAAAATAGCCTTACGTATCCAAAGGGTTGTAAGCTCCAGTAGCTGAACCAGGATTGATGTAAAATTTATTTTCATGCTCGTAAGCTTCAAATTTATGTGTGTGGCCGGATATAAGAATGTCGACATCTAATTGCCTCTGTATCAAAGCTAAAGATTCTGGATCACCCCATGGTACTACTTGATGCCCATGGGAAAGCCCTATTCTAAATTGGCCCACAGTAACTACCTTTTGTTCTGGATAATTTAAATTCTGCAAATAAATAAAATTGTTTAACTTATATATTTAAATAACATTTTAAATAATTAAACATTCTTATAATTCAACATGGCTAATCAACAACCCTTTCTTTTATCTCATCCTTAATTTTACTTGATTTAATAATTAAATTTTATTTTAATTACACTTTAATATTCCATAAATGTTTTTATATAATTATATTAAATTATAAAGATATGATGCATAAGTACCTCGTCAAAATCCCCTCTGACTACATGTACATCGCTGGCTAATGTCTTGAGATAATCGTAAGATTCTTTTGTGCAAAGATTACCAGTGCACAAGATGTGCTGTATTCTTCCTGGTACCAATAACTTCTTGAATTTACTCGGGAGACTGCTACATCTATGCGGAATATGCAAATCTCCTAGGACTAACACAAGCTGTAAAAAAGTATATTTCTGTAAATACCTTTAACAAAACAAAGATTTTTAAATATAAAATTATATATTAAATAATTGTTGTTATAAATACATATATAATTATGATAAAAATTTTTGTTACACTCTAAATCTAATGTTATAAAAATTATGAAGCAATACATGTAAAATTACATCTAAACTGAAAATGCCAATGAGGTTAGATTACTAACAAAACAATTAGTTTCCGATTTTTAATATATTTAAAGATTATCTTTGCATTTCTTACCATGATTTTTGTAATTGAATCCTTAATTTAATATATATTGCAATACTTGCGATAGTGACAAATACTATAATACGATGCACAGAAGGCAGAAATGTCAAACATTACACCGGAAGTGTACGTGACAATCAGTGACGATAGCGGAAGATTATTAAAATACGATTATTGAAATATATCGTATCTCAAATTTCGTAATACTTGAATACTCATTTTGCGCTATTTCTACTTGAAATACTTTAATTTAATAACTAAATTTATTTTGTATTTTATATTTGTAGACAATTCAATTTCCTTGAATGTTTTGTTATATTATTACATTAATTATTAAGTATACATATATATATATATATATACACATTAATACATTTTTTTTATTAATAATAACTATAAATTTATAAATTTCTTGACAAAGAGATATCGATTTATTCGTAATGTAAAATTTTGTTCGCAGTTGCGGATCTTTAATGTTTCTTTCATCTATGACTTAACCTTACACAATCGAAATTATTATTATTGCGTTTATGGCCGCGCGTAAAAGTTCGAAAGTTCAAGCAATTGTTATTAAGAAAGATTTAATTAAATCGAGAATCACTTTATATCATTCGAAATATCAGTCGCGTATAAGATAAAAGATACGTTGACATGAAATGCATCATACCTGGCGGAAATGTCAAAAGTATGTTTTCTTAATTTAGGTTACATAAATAAATTACGGAATTACAATTTTGCGGTGCATACAAAAATTGTCAATTTAACCCATGTTTTCTAATTTTATTTATTACACTTACTTGTTTTATTCCATATATGTTATTTATAGTGAAAAATATGTCAGACATTATTACATACTTACAAAAAACTAGATGATTTTTTTTAACTTTAACGTGTATCAGAAAAAATTTTCTGTATCAATTGTTAATTAACGTTTCTTACAGTCTTGGCAAGGGCAATACATATGCTGGCGAGAATTGGAGATGAAATGTATGTAATTCCACAACAAGAGGCTATTTCTTTTCGCACAGTCAACATGGCAAAATCGGCATATTCTGACTTCATATTTCACAAAAATTTCTTCTCTTATTATGCTCTTGGAGATCTCTTGGAAGAAGAAGCACAGAGGTGTAAAATTTCAATGAGGGTAATATCTATTTTAGTTAGATTTATTTATATGATTTTCAATCTACAATTTGCAGAGTGCAATGACAATCTTCAAATCTGCACATACATTAGACAAGCAAGTGGAGACTTGTCATATTCTTTTAGAGGTAAATGCTAGCAATCTTGTGTTTATCCTGAAATACAAAAATGGTATCAACAAGGCCTACTTGTCACCTATTTTGGATTCTGACAAGTTGCAAGTATACTAAATCGTTCTTTTTATTACATATGATCCTTGGATGCAATTTAATAGTCATTTTATATGTTAAGAAAGATTAATTATATTAATTATAACATCTCTAAATATTCTGAATATAAATGTCAGCAAATTTTAGAGATAAATATAATTTGTCAATGTTATAAAAAAACATGTATTCAAGGATCAACTTTTTATTTGAACTATCAATTGTATTGGATAATGAAATTATTACGCAGGCATCATACAGTACAACTGGTATGCCTAATCAACTGACATCACGGGCTCGAATATTAATGGATGCTCTGCAAAATTTTCCACAAAATCAGATTGAAATAACGCTTGAAGTAACGCCACACAAGCTGCTACTTAGGAATTATGTAGATGATGCATCAGGTAAATCAAATGTGTCAGTCATAGTATACGTCTTAGTATATTAGGAATAAATATAAATAAAATGTTAATAAAATACATAATACTGTAATAATTAATATATTATTGCTAAACACTACAGTCATCCATTACAGTCATGGTAAATACTACACGCACCCAGCTGGCACTTGGAATCGGGGAATTTGATCGCTATACAATTGGCAATGAAACAAGCATCACATTCTGCTTAAAAGAATTCAGAGCTTCACTCATTTTCAGCGAAAGCGTGGGTATTCCAATCACTGCAAATTTTGAAACAGCAGGAAGGTATTATACATTGAATTCTCAAGCATTTTTATTTAGCGTTAAGTAAATATTGTAATATATAGATGATTAAAATACCAATATATATTTTTATATACTGATAATATAAGATTTTGACTTGTTTATATTTCTGTAAATTAATTTTTCATTTCTTATGTGTAATATTTTTCAGACCAATATTGCTTACCCTGAAGAGTCAAGCTTTCGAAACAAATTTATTATTATCAACTTTGATCTTAGATTGTGATAGCCAGTCAGACACATCTGTCGTTAGGAATATACAATCTGTTCGAAAAAAAAACACTTCTTCGAGGAGTACGTCCAGAGGCACTAACAAATCTTCGAGTCGAATAAAGAAATCTGACAAATCTAAAGTCAATGATACGTCGAAGAAAAGAGTAACAAAAGAGAAAAATCAAGTAGACAAAATATTCAACCAAAATAAGAATGCTGCGAATGTTGTTTCAGCGAAAGAAAATAATTCTGTAAACGACGTTCGAGAAAAAAGTTTGCATATATCAGAACAGAATCATCGTTCTGTTACGTTCAATCCTACCAGCACATCTTCAACGACTGGCAGTAAAATTTCAGAGAATAAGCGGAAATTGATAAATTCAGTATTCTCCAATATTACAAAAAGGAAATCAACTAGTGAGGAAGAGAACGACAACAATAAAGTAGAAGTTGTAAGAGATTGCATAGCCCTGGATGAGAGTGTACCGAGATCACCGTCACGGCAAGTGACCAAGAGAGCAAGATTAGTATTCCAGAAATGTTTTCAGGATACTTTTGACCCACGAATGTTACCTGGTCATAATACTATCTTAGTAGAGGATTCCGATGAGAATAATAGTGATTAAATATTATGTCATGAGATTTCTAATGAACGTTTCTAATGTCACAAGGGAAATAGAATCAAATTGTTTAATAGTCAAATACTGTTTAATGTCATGACAAATTTTTAGGAAAATTAAGACAATTTTTAATTTAAATTATTTATCAGTTTGAATAATATGTTTCTTTTCTTATTTGAATCAGTGAATTTTTTTTTTTTTTTTTCATAGAAAACTATTGATTCTGAATATTTATTTTTTAAGTAAAATTGGATTAAAATTGGATTATATTATTTTAGTAATTAAATAATTCAAATTGTGTTATATTTGTCCTATTTCTCGAGTACATTTTTTATCTTTCAGTTGAGATCTCATAAAAATCTAAATAATCTATACTAAACACTGTTAAATACTGTATCATATTGCAGCATAGAGCAATCTATGTTAAGGCCAGTATTCATAGTCAGTTCTTATATTTATCGTCTTAAGATAACATTCCAACCAATAGGATAGTATGAGCTGTATTAGCTTATTTAAGACGATTTTAAATATAAAAACTGACTATGAATACTGGCCTAAATTAGAATTGTGTTCGTGACGTAAATTTCGAATCACTGTACATAAGACACATTCTGTTTTTAAGAATGTTACTGTAAATAAAAAAACTTTCTTTAAGAAATCTGGGAAAGACAAAGAATAATTGCCTTGTTTTATTTTTCGTGTAACTGTAAGAAGAAAAAATGTGATACAACTTTAATATCTCCTAATTAATACAAAAAATCCAAACTTATTTAATAAAAAAAAAAAAATTACTTTCCGATATGTCAAAGTGGCACGTGCTTACCTAGCCTGACCTGAGACCTCAGTCAATTTCTCATGTCAGGCTATATCGAATGTATTTTTCCTTTCTCGCAACAACGACAACCACGTGGGAGAGTAGCAGCAGAATATAACATGAACGGTCGGGTAACATTTAATTTAACTGCTCTAACCAGTGTAGGTTTGGGAGGTTGGTATCTAGGCAAGTTCTCCGAACAGAGGCGATATTCGAAAGACAATGAAACAGACGGGCTGTCAGCATCACAAATCCGGAATATGCCGGGTTTACCTCTGTTTGGTACAGTTTCGGCGGCTACTCCTCCAGTACCTGCCGAAAACAATCACAACATGGGCTCCAAAGTGTCTTCGACCGCTATGAGGGTGTCGCAGGTGGGTGAAAGTTAAGGGTCAAATCAAGGGTGATTACTAACCTCCAGATTGATTCAGTGGGAACAAATAGAAGAAATAATTTCACAATAATTCTATTGTTGGCACCATATTGTGTTGGCGGCAGATTATGAAATTTGGTTTTCCCGGGTTGGATCATGTCAGGTCGTACGAGGATTTCGTATTGTCTTACGATAGGCGAAACAGAGTCGCACATTGGGTGTTTGAGCACTTGACCAAGGAGAGACTGCAGTACAATACTGAAGTAGACCGTTCCAAGTGCGAGTTTAAGCCCGATCAGAGCATACATCCTTTTTTCAGGTGAGGAAATGCAAAATTTACATAATAATTGTTAAACTATTTGTAAGAAACTTAAAAGAATAATTTACTACTTTAATTTACTGAACTAAATTAATCTGCCGAAGTTAATCTTAATTTTGATAATGCCGACAGATCAGAGAACACAGACTATAAGGGGAGTGGCTATGATCGTGGTCATCTGGCTGCAGCTGGAAATCATAAAATGGAGCAAAAGCACATGGAGCAAACCTTTTTTCTCTCCAATATGGCACCACAAATCGGAAAGGGCTTCAACAGAGATTCCTGGAACAGATTAGAAAAACATGTTCGAAAATTGACTAATATCTACAAGGATGTTTACGTGTGCACAGGGCCATTATATCTTCCCAAGTGCGTTTACTAGCTAATAGCTAAATTTGATTTTCTTTATTATTATATTTCATCTATTATTATTAATTAACTTTTTAATATTTGATTTTTCTATTATTATTACATAATAATGTTGTTATCATGTGTTGCCCCCTTTCTTCATATATTATTTTGAAATCAGTATTATAATAAATTTTATACTTTTATTACTTTTTTATTTATAGAAAAGAAGCAGATGGAAAGAAATATGTTCGTTATGAAGTAATAGGTGCGAATCATGTAGCGGTACCTACACATTTTTATAAAGTTATTGTTGGTGAAACTAATGACGGCAAGTTTGAAATGGAAGCTTTTGTGATGCCGAATACACCAATTGACGATAATGCACCGCTTACTAATTTTCAGGTAATGTTTCTTTTTTAAAAA